CTATGTAGTTCAAACACTTGAAAGTATAAGTCAATGGTATGTGCAATCAGTTTTCGATATCTTATATGTCTAGCATGACATGAAAATTTGATATGCATCTAAAGTCTATTATATGGCTTATATAACTTAACAATCCCTGAAGGATTTGAATTGCTTAAAGCATATAGAATTCATGGTCATGAAGTACTACATCCTCAATACAATTTGTGCACAAATGTATCTTGCTATAAGTATATGCATGATAATATGATAGCAAGAGTTTTCACCTCTATGTGAAGATATTGAACTGACGATTCCAACAAGATCATATGAAGATAATTCATCTCTATCAAGAATGATGATTTCAAGGTGCAATATATTCATTCAAGTTAATATGGTTGATTTGTTTATCAAATATTTACCAAAGATCTTTTGAAGATAGTGCACAAGATTGGAATGCAAATGCTTAAGGATGTGAAGTGATGCTCTCATGAGGGGGAGTTAATACGCGTTGTACTCTTTTTCCCTTACAAGGTTTTGTCCCACTGGGTTTTCCTTGCAAGGTTTTTAACGAGACAACCAAAAGGCGTATTGTTAGATAAGTGTACTCTTTTTCTTTTACTAGAATTTTTTTCCCACTGGATTTTATTTAGTTAAGGTTTTAACGAGGCACGTTATCTGTTGAATAGACATTCAAGGGAGAGTGTTATAAATAGAGTTCTATTTATGGTGAATGTCTATATTTAGAGAGATTCTAGGGTTTTTACTTGGTGGCTAATTCACCATCTCCCTATAAATAGAGGGTTCTATTCCATTGTAATTCATCCCAAAATTCAATAAGAATTCTCTCTCTCTACTTTTCTCTGCAATACTCTTCTTCAATAAGTACTATTTGTATTTTTAATTTGTTTATACATGAGAGATTTTAAGGTGTATATTCTGAGGTATAAGTAATTTGAATATTAGACGATAAATAATTTGATTATGAATTTGTTGCTTTAAAGCAACATTTGAATTTGAATTAAAAAGTAAAGTTTTACTAGAAACTAAGTAATTCATCTCAAAATTGATAAAGTAAATTGATTAGCGGGAATTGGAAATTGCTCGTTTGCTAAAACCTTATTTCCTTAACCGTTGATTCAGTATGTTCCTACTTCCTATCCCCAACGAATTCTCATAAATCTTCATGCTTTATACTATTTTTATGTGTTAAATAATTTTTTTTCTTGAGGATTTGACACTAACCTGCAAAAATCAAGAGGACGATTTATAGTATTGATTAATAAAAATTGGCGTAGTTCTTTTGTACTCCACATTTGAGTAAAATTCTACTATGAAAGACATTATTTACTATGAAAAGAATTATCATCGAAATCGGTAAGAAGCCTAGTTCTAGAATGTACAAAAATTGGAATTGACATAATATTCAGAATAATCCTATTAACAAAAGAAATTTGTTATATTTGTTTATTTTTTGCTCATTTGTCTTCCTAAAATTAGAAATTAAATTCGTTAAATGACCTTAGTCTCATTTGAAAGGGATAATGCATAAAATCATCCCCGACCTATGGCCATAAAATCTTCAATTTCAACACCACCCGTAGAAGCTCTTCAACAATGACAGATACTTTACGTTTGGGAAGCGTGATAAAAGAATGGGTTTAAATAAAAAAGCTTAGTTTTACCTTTGGGAGCCTTTCTTATGGCTTATTTTGCATGGCACATGGTGATTATATAGAAGACGAGCCTTTTAAATTTAGTCCTTAAGCGCTTGGAAGAGGTGTAGTCACGCTCAGATTTTATTAAGCGTATAAGGTTAAAGAAATTCTAGGAAAAAAAAGTTTAGGAGGTAATAGGACCCCTGAAAAGAAAAAATATGTAGTAATGCATTATCCCCATTTGAAATAAGAAACTTGCATTTTTATTGTTAACACAAGAAAAGGTTGAGGTGACGTAAAAAATAAATAGGGCCGTAAGTAAAAATAGGAAAGTTAGAATCCTAGTTAATAAAGGATTGGATGTCATAATACTCATCAACTTCGCCTTATAACATAACATAAGGGTACGAAGCAGCAGCCTAATTAATGATGGATTAGGGGAAAAAAATTTAAATACGTGAATAAATAGTACAGTTTTATTTTTTAGGGGAAAAAAATATTCGTAAAAATAGGAAAGTCAGAAACCTAATTAATAATGGATTGGGATTTCCTAATACTCGTCAACTTCACCTTATAACATGAGAGTACATATAAGCAGCAGACGTTCACAAACTACATAGTGATATTTCACAAATTACTTTCAGAAATGGTTTCACTGTTGTGGAAGAGAGTGAGGATACTGGGTGAAGGTGGATTTGGGGTTGTTTCTTTAGCTTCGACGTCCGATAATCAACCTCCCACGTTAGAGCGTCTTCCACCTCTCATCGCCATAAAATCTTGCTTACTCCATCGCTCTCAATCTTTGCAAGAAGAAGAGGCATTCCTCAGCATGTTTGCAGACTCGCCTTACGTAATTCACTGTTTCAGACCTAATATTGAACTACAAGATGGCGTCGCCGTTTACAACTTACTTCTCGAATATGCCTCCGGAGGAAGCTTAGCCGATCGTCTTCACAACTACAACTCAGGGAAAGGTCTGTCAGAGTTTGAAGTTAGAAAACACACTAGGAATGTTGTTTTAGGGCTCGTTCACATACACAGCAGAGGAGTTATTCATTGCGACATCAAGCCCGATAACATTCTTCTTGCGGGCTCTGATGAAACTGCCAAGATCGCAGATTTCGGGCTCTCTATGACTTTGGAACAGAGCAGGGCACAAAAGCATGGACTGAGGGGAACTGAAAGGTATTTGGCACCAGAATCCGTAGGTTGACGAGGAGTACGGACCAGAAGTTGATATATGGGCTCTTGGTTGCATTGTCTACGAGTTGATGACGGGGACACCGTTGTGGGAATCAGATGAAGATAGTCAAGATTCGAATGTTTTATACAGAATTGGGTTTGAGGAACCAATGTTTCATAATGCAAAGTTGTCGAAGGAAGCACAAGATTTTTTGAAGAGGTGTCTAGTCAAGAATCCCAGATCACGTTGGGACAGCGGAGATGCTATTGAACCATCCGTTTCTGAATCCATCCGAAGTAGACAATAATGTCCAGCGTGCAACAAAGACACCAAAGAGGCTAAAGATTATTCAACGCAGACCGCAGCAGAAGATAGCATTCAAGAATCCCAGTTCAGGTTGGACAGCCGACATGCTATTGAACCAACCGTTCCTGAATTCATCCATAATAGAAGACAATGTCCAGCCAGCAACAAAGACACCTAAGAAGCTAAAGATCATTTTACGCAGACCGCAGCAGAAGATAGCAGTCAAGATACAACCACATAACCGTGATCTGATCATAGGACATTGATGCAATAATAAGAGAAGAGAATCTGAAGAAATTAGACAAGGGAACTCGCGGAAGGCTGCTGGCGATACTGAAAGTAGATACTCAGATTGATAATTGATTTGTAATATAGTATGTAAAAGAACTACGTGTGGGCTTGATCCCTCTTTAGGATTTGTTGGGGGTACGTAGGCAGCTTGTGATCAAGATGATCTCAGGTGCAGCCCTTTTTTAGTTAAAAAAATATAATTGACTGATGTACATATGCTTATAGCTAGTCAATCAGTACTCCTTACAAAGAAAAGGTTTTCTTTTGTATATATGATTTTTGCCATTGATGAGTGGCACCAGTTTTGCAATACATGCCTCAGTAAAATAGTTGCATAGTTCTGTGTTATTTCATTCATTAATACTGCTAGTCAAACTGCAAACTCTGTTGCAGATTCATATATGTTGTTATCTTCTGATGTTGGCTTGTACAAATCATAAAGTTGAATGAAATGTTTCGAAGTTTGTTCTTTATTCCTTCTTTGGATTTTGCCGTATTGCCTCTTTTTGGCATCCGAGCTCCTCTATTTGATGCAGCAGCCAGCCTCGCATAAACAACACTAAGTTTTTGAGTTTGTTATTAATGTTGATCTGGGATGTTATTGGTTTCTTTAATATTGCTGATCTTCTGCGTTTTTAGTTTCCATATCTGTGCTCGCTCTTTTGCTAACCAATTTAGAAACAATGCTTTTACCTGTCAAGTACTACATTGAAACATCGTGATTTAAGTGAAACGGAAGGGAGTTTGTATTCTGGGCATGAGAAATATAATTTTGATATAAAGATGAGTATATGATGTCATAGACATGCATGCGTCGTTTGATTTTCATATTGAAAAAATCGAAGTACAGCCACTGTTCCATTGATAGGAGGTTGAGAGATTTGTGTTGTTAGAAACTAACTCATAGTAAGGATCTTGGAATGACTGTTATTCAAATATGTGTTTCCTTACAAATGTACACAACATTTCATCTATAAAACCACCACAAGAAAGTACTCTTCTTGGATGCAGACTTTATGTAACTAATCAACACTGCAACAGTAATACCTTAGATTCTAGACCATCATAAGAATCCTATTCTAAGTTAAACACATCTGATCTGTTGAAAAAAAGAGAGACAAATTCGAGCTTATTTGCCCCGATCCCTTGCAGCCAGCTATCCGAGGCTGTCACTACATATATAGGACCTACAAAGACATCACTATATATAATCTCAATTCATCTGCAAAAAATAACTTGTACACCTTCAGAAATCTTCACCATAATGAACATGTAGCTAGGTGATCAAGACTGGGCATGGTGCTTCGCGAGCTTGGCAAGGACACCAACAGCCAGAGAATTTGTATATGTTGTCGGCTCAGTCATGGCTGAAGTTGAACGACGATCTTCAAAGTTATCATATCGATCAGGACCACCAACAATGGCGCCTGTTAGCTCATTAGGATTGGGTTTTTCTGTGTTGTACCAGTATACAAAACTCATGGAGCAGTCCACCAGTTTGTTTGGAGACATTTTCGGGACAGAGGCACCTCTGTGATGAGCTTGAGTTGGAGGTTTGTTCCCAAAACCAACCATGTATGATTTTCCTCTTGGGTTTTTCCCTAGTATATAGTCCATCTGCATTTTTTTAATCACTTATAAGAAACTTTGTGCTTTCATTTTATTTCATGATGAGCATATATATATTTTTTGAAACGGCTAGTATAAAATTAAGAGTATTGTCCTACACCCACAGAAATGCCTGATTAAAATTTTGGTACAAATAGCTCTCATGAGTATGACGGTGTTAGAAATTTTTATCCAGGGCTGGCCTATTGCTAAGATTAAAATTGCGAAAAGCATCAGAAAAGTGCTGATCTATATTACCTGTTGCTTGGCAAAGGCCATGAGATCAGCTGAATTGAACTGTTTGTTACCACAGCTGACCTTTTGCTTATGGTTGGCTAGATAATCACTATAAACACTAAACAGAAAAGCTGTGGCAGTAACATATTGAGTATTAGCTCCATCTCTAAGGTGAAGGAGACCCCCTGATAAATTAAACATTTGGCAGTTGAACTTGTTAAACCATTGAAACAAGCTCAATAGACGAAAGACATGAATTTTTCTATGAACAAAACAAAGAAGTACCTGGAGATATATAAACCTGGTGATGGGGGCTATGTGGAAGTATTGAGCAAATATAACCATCAGCCTGTTGCTTAAAATTCTGTAAATCTTTCTCCCCTTCAAAATAGAACTGCATATTATGGACCGAATATCAGCACTTCTTTCTACCCACACGTTCGCGTCTATATAAAGAAAGAGTATTAATTATTACCTTAGAGAGGAGTATTTGAGCTCCAGCATATTTAAGGTCCCAACTAAATTCAGCTACAGTTGCAGTAGTAGCCTCTTCTTGTATGAATTCCAAGTATGTTGGCCTCCTGGTTGCTCTATATAGCCATGTTGCTGCCCACAACAACTCATCCTACATTTTTTTCACATTTTAGGGACAAATTACAATAACTTGCATGTAACTAATTAACCATATAAAATCAAAATAAGGGAGAGGGATATTACATGAAAGCCAGAAAAGGAGCAATAGAAAGGGCATTCCCCATCATAAGTTCCTTTATGGCTTTTGGCAAACTGAAAAAGCTGAGCCACAAACCCAAAAAAAATACTATGAGCATATATTTAGGAGCCAAATGATATAAAACATCACACAATGAGGATAAAATGAGTACCAGTTTGGCTTTGTTGAGAAGTTGACGGGCATAGGTACGATTGGTTCCACGAAATACAACAGAAGCAGCAGCCATTGCTGCAGAAGTCTCAGCTGCAATCTCTGTTCCAGGATTATTCTGGTCTATCATTAGTACAGTTCTCGGCGTGTTCATATTCTCTGGCCTTGTCCAACATTCATGATCTTTCACTGGATCTCCAACCTTCAATAAATTAAAAAATTAACAATTAGATCTTGATAAATTTAGACCTACATTAATTTTCAATATTCTTGAAAACTATTGGGACTAACCTGGACATAGAGGCGATTACGCTTAGAACTGGCTTTCAAGAAATAATCAGTGCCCCATTTGATAGCAGATTGAACATTTTTTAATTCTCCAGCAGCTTGGAGCTGTGATTGATATGCGATAGCAGCCCATGCTAAAGTTGTTACTGTGAAAGCCATTGGAAGACCATATTTTACGTTGTCTCCAGCATCATAGTATCCTCCTACAAGGTCAACCTACATATAAAAACACAAAATTTAGTATTTCGCAGTTAATGTCACCCCATGATTTGGGAGCACATACATAACATAACATGTTATTATAATAAAATGGGAAGGGGGGGAGAGAGAGCTATACATTTACAGTATTGCCATCTTGAAGAGCAGAATCTCCTCTCCATAAAGGCCTGTGATTAGGAGGAAGTTTTCCTGATCGTTGTGCCTCGAGAAAAATAATCGATTTGGTAAGAGCTTCTTGATAATTAAAATCTCCATTTACAACTACAAAATGACCTTGAAATATAATGAACCATGCAAGAAGAAAGGTTCCAAATGCCTTTATTACAGAAATGTTCATGACTAATAAAAGTGATTTCTTAAGTGAAGAATATTGCGATTGATGAATAAGCTAAGCACCAAAAAGGATTAGAAAAAAGTTTGTTCATTTGGAGAAGTAAATGAGAGGAAATAGGGAACAATCGGTACAACCCACTCACTAGGAAGTTAGATAGTAATGGTGTTTGTTTAAGATGTTTTTTCCTGAGGTGGATAGTCAATGGCTAAAACTTTTTGGACTATGGCATTGGTAAATTAGAGTTTTTTGGAAATTATAATGGCGGGAAATAACACAAAGTTAGTTATCGGCTTTGGAAAGTTGTTAATATCCAAAAATTATTTATTGAGGGGCTAAAAAACAAAAAAAAATCAACGTCGCCTGAGAGATTCGAACTCTCGCGGGGAAACCCCATGTACTTAGCAGGCACACGCCTTAACCACTCGGCCAAAGCGACGAAGCTATTAGCAGGCTATTTGGGAATATAATATTCCCGCATAAAAATGTGAGGTTATTTAATCCTGTGCTAGTGTATTTTCTTGGTACGGTATAAACAATTGAGTGATTAGTTGTACCATAATTTTGGTGTCATTTTTATATCGTATTCAATGTGGAATAATAATCTTGAGATAAAACAACCAAATGACAAAAGTGTCATTCTCCAAAACTCTTTTTCATAGTCCTTTAAGAAGGCTAAGGTTAAGGTTGAAAATAAAAGTTTATTTATTATAAAACCAAATAAATGCTTTTATATTATATCCGTATATTTTATTTTTACCCAATGAATCAAACGTCCCAAGAAAAATATATCCACTAAATAATCTCGTTATTATTTAGCTTTGAATTATAATTTCCATCACATTATAATAATGATATAACTTGTTTGCAAACCTAAGTGTATTGTAAACGACTTATGTAGCTAGACAACTCCCAAGCATTAACAATTAGTAGCCGAATGTGAGATTAGTGGATATGAATATATATTAACTTTTTGGTCAAGCTTAATAATATTTTTCTCTACAACTTTTAAAGATCTCTCATTACATATTTTAACTTTTCGAGTGACTCATTCACTACTAGAAATCCGCTAAATACCGACCAGAAAAACTGACCAATTTTGGTCGGTCATAGCCAATTACCGACCAAAATGCGGCCAAATACGCTTGGACGATATTTTGATGGTCGTTTTTGTCACACCTCCTTTTTTACACACCTACCCCCGAAGGATAGTGTATAAGGGAGTTTTTCCATTTAAAGTGACATTATTCGAAATGGGATTATTTATTTATTTTTCAGAGTCGCCACTCGGGAAAGGATAGGTTTTTGGTGTCCCGAGTCACCGATTTAGTTTAAATCCCAAATCGAGGAAAATTTCGACTCCCAATTGGAGTCTGCGAACCAGAGATTCTGTGTAAGGAATTCTGTTGACCCGAGGGAAGGTGTTAGGCACCCCCGGGTCCCGTGGTTCTAGCACGGTCGCTTAAATTATTATAATTGGCTAAAAATCTGATTTTAATACATGTTTTAACTTATGCGCATTTTAAATTAAAAACCGCTTTTATTTATATTTCTTATAAGACTTGCAACATCGTAAAAATGTATCTCAAACCACGTCGCACCAGTACGCCCGTGATTTTTGGCACATTTCAACCTTGTTGAGATTTGGATTTGGGTCACATAAATGTGCACCCGTAGTTAGGAAGGTAAGATTATTAAACTACCGTGCATAAAGTAGTTTTGTATTTGCAATTTGCGAGGGCCATGGAAATTCGCTAAATGGCATGCCTCGATTTCTAAGGATAGACAAGATTAATTAAACGAGGGCCATTCAATTGTCACTTTTGTTTGGCATGACGCGCCTTAATTCCAAAATAACAAGGTGGCCAAATTAAGCTTCCGAGATTTTAATTAATAAAACTATTGACCGAGATTATTTAAGCAGACACTCGCGATCCACACTTCAAGTAATCAGGTGATACAAGGGCAGTGACGAAGCACTGGGCCAATTATTAAAGGTCCAGGGTATGAATTCAGCCCAAACGTGACCCAGGGAAACGGGCCTCAGATTTGTACTTTGAACGGGACTGCATCTTGAACCCTTGAAGGGCCCAAACTTGTTTTAATTTAGAAAATAGTTTCCACATGCTTACGGCCCACACAAAAGTCATCTCAATTTGCACAAAAGCATGACCAGGGATTCTGTAAACAAATTTGCACAAACGCTATCAATTTTATTCAAATATTCAATTTGATTTTTTTTAATCAAATTGATATCAAAATCAAACTATGTTCAATTATATAGCGTTTGATTTTGATAATTTACAGAATAGCGTTTGAACATAGTTTGATTTTGCAAATTGATTCACTAGATTAAAATGAACTTATAAAGATATAAAATTAAAATAGAACTACCAATTAAAGTCCATGATCTGTTTGTCCA